AAAAGTAAACCCGTCCCTGCAGGACTTGTTCAAACTGTGTTCTGGTACTCATCGTTGTATGCGAAATGTTCAAAAGGAAGTTCGTGAAGCGAAGCAGGTAGCCACTGAGGCCAAGACGGAGGCCGCGGCGGCTCGGAAAGATGCATCGGGAGCTCTCAAAGTGGCGAGGGGAGCTCTCTCTGCTGCCGAGCTGGACAGTGCCTCTACGGTTCCTGGCAGTACTGGAGGTGGTGGTGGCTCGCATGTCAACGTCAGCACGGGTGGCCCTTTCAAGGCTGGCTTCGTGGAGATCAAGGGCTTCAGCGAGTTCGATGACTTCGGGAGGCCTACTGATCGTTCGTATCTTCTTGGCTCTGAGGCCAAGGCTTACCTCCTGAGTCTGAAGGAGGGTTGCGAGGAGAAGGAGTCTGACAAAGTAGATTGGGATCTTTCTATACAGAAGGCTGAGAGGCAGGAGTTGAATGCTAAACTACTGTTGGTGCTGCGTGATGCTGCGAGGGATGAGCGCAACAACGGCGTTTGGGGTCTTCGCACGTCGCTCATGCAAATGTTCGAGGAGGGCCGTTTGCACATGCTCAAGGGGAGGCGCGTCTTCGCAGGTGTTGAGGTGGCGCCAGACCGCAGACAGTTCCACACGGCGGGAGGCAAGGCCACGCGTTTTCTGCTGGAGGAGGGCCTGAGCAAGGACCAGTTCCAAATCTTGTGGAGCAATACCCCTCTGGTCGTCAGGCTGAAGACGGAGGAGATCCAGGCGCTCGCGCTGTGGTCTCCTGCCAAGGGATGGCAGGTCTACGCTGAGGTGCTGAAGAAGGTCAAGGACTCGCGCACGCCGCCGATGATGGTCGAGGCCTGCCGCTGATCTTCACGTACCGTGTCCTCGAGGAGGACGTTCTCTTCAGCCTGGAGTTCGTTGAGAGCTGTTTCCTGGAATTTCAACAAGGGTACCTCCAATACCTTCGCCGAACTTTGTGGGGATCTAAAGTTGGCTCAATGTATTGGTTTCTTTCAAGAAGTTGAGCGGGTGCAAGTCGACATCGAGATGCCTGGCTGTGTTCTTTTCCACGGCAGTGGCCATCGCACAGCTATCTCTATCCCCTCCCCTCTCGAACATGAAGTCTCTGATTGGGAGTGCTCCGACAGGATCTCTTGGGTTCGCTTGGGCTCCTGGGGCTTCGTCTCCTGCTACCTCCCCTATGCCTCAGAGGATGCCAGCCTCGCCGAGTTTGAACGCACGATAGTCTCATGGGTCACTGTCCTCACGAAGCTGAAGGCCAGTGGAGCTCGTGTTCTCGTGGTGGGCACGGGTGCCAATACCGAGCCAGCTGAAGACTGGCATGGCAGAGTGGGCCCGCACGTGCAGCGTCGTCCCCCTTCTCGTACGAATGATGCCTACGAGCAACGTCGTCTCTTACTCCTCAGTGTTCTGGAACGCTTCGACCTGCAGATGGCTAACACCTGGCCCTCTCAGAGTGATTGGTTTACCCGACGCCCTTGGGGCGGACGGCAAAGATGTGCTCATATCGACTTTGTTTTGGTTTCCAGAGCGCTTTCTCATCGGAGCTGGGTCCGAAACGAAACCAAGTGGGCCAACAATGTTCACGTTCCTGTCTATGTGTCCTTGGGAGCGCCTGGTGAAGTCACCATTGGCAAAGCTGGGTTTCAACGTAGTTCGACGGGCTGGAAGCCCGCCTCGGAGGATGACCCCGCGCTCTTCCTGGACCAGGTCTCGACGAATCTGTGTCCCAATGGGTTTCGTGCTCCTGGTGCGCTGGAGTCATCCCTGGAGAAAGTTTCAAGGTGTATCGAGGCTGCTGCTATGGCCATCAAGCTTTCTACCAAGTCCTCGGGGTCCAGGGTCCTCCAGGCTAAACCCCATGATCTACGCCTGGCCGAGCTGCAGTCGAAAGAGGCACCCCCAGGTTCTGCTAGGAGACGGCGCCGTCGTCGCGAGCGGCTTCTTCGCGAGATGTGGAGAGCGCTCAAGGCCAGCCGTCAGTCAGGCACGTTTGCCAAGATCTCTACTCTGGAGTGCGCAGGGGTGCCCTCGAAAGATCATGCAGCATGGGGGGAAGAGGCCTATCAGCACTGCACGAACAAATACACCGACCCGAACGAGACCGTCTTAGAGTAGAACATTCGTTATCAGCAACTCGCCGCCGATGCTCGTAGTATGAACGTCGATGGTCGTCGCGCTCAGAAGCTCTCGATCGACATCGTCTCAAGGGCCCGTGCCAAATTGAACCCAGGCAAAGCTCCAGGAGGCAAATCGAAAATTGTCGGGGAGATGATCGCTACGTTGCCCATCTCAGTCTGCTATGTCATAGGTCACCTATTTAGTGAACGCTACTCGGGGTCGGTCGTCCAGAGTATCGAGTCCTGGAGCACTATCGTTATGTTCTTCATTAAGAAGGTTCCATCGCCCATTTCACTGGCTCATTTCCGTGGTATCAGCCTGCTGGACATGCTCCAGAAATGGTGCACTTCGTGCCTTGTGATATGAGCACGTTCTACACCTCCTCCTCGTTCATGGGCTCGTTCTTGTATCTTTGGCTATGAAGAGAAATTTTCAGTGGATAAATGGCTGGTGTTTTTTTTCAACTGTTGTGCGCTCGCTCGCGTGAGCGGCATCTTCAGTGCCCACTGTGTGCCGCGAAGGGTGACGTGCAGGGGGCCTTCGGCAAGATCACGTTCGACCTCATGATCGACGCCGTGCGACATCGGCGTCTTCATCCACAGCTCATGGCGGCCACCCTGAGGGAGCAGCTCTTCAACGTGGTGGGGCCTGTCTTCCAGGGCATCAGGGCGCCTGGAGCTACCCCATTCAACAAGAGTGGAAAACAGGGCGGAGTGGAGACGCCATTTCTGTGGAATCTTATCGTTTGTCTACTCCTATTTCGTGTTATGGACGCCTAAACCCAAGACGGCATTGGTATCGTTATTTCGGATAATCCTCACAACCATCTGGTCTGGGCGGATGATGTCATACTGATCGCAAGTTCTTTGGATATGATCCGTCGTCTCTTTGTCGATCTTACTTCTATTATGTTGAGTTACGGCTTATCTTGGAAGCAGGAGTCTTTGGAGCTTTTCACTAACGATGCGGTCTTCCCCTTGTGCGACTCGCTCACATTCGACGTGCTCTCTACCTCCTGGGACTTCGCCGTGCGCTCAGAGGGCTTCGAGGTCCTGGGCGTTTGGCAGACTCCAGACGGCAACGCTACCGACGCGGTGGGCCACCGGTTGCAGAAGGCCTCCCAGGCGTTCTGGAAGGACGCCAAGTTCTATCTAGCCACCTCTGTACCGCTTGAAGTCCGGTTCGATCGATACGAAAAGAGGGCGGTGCCTGTCGTCTGTCATGGCAGTGGTTCCTGGGTCTGGAGTCATGGCTTGGCTTTGAGATTGGATCGATGGGAAGGCTATCATCTTCGGAGAATTGCTCGTCTCCGACGCCGACCCCAAGAAGATCCTGTGACCTATTTCAGACGTACAGTTCGATTTGCCAAAAGACAGCATGCTGCTGCGGGGTTTCTCCCGCTGGGTCTTCGTGTCCTTCGTGCCGCGTTCTCGCTCTTGTCCAGGACGGCGCCAAGACATATCAATGCCTCATCGCCCCCTACCTGTGCGCATGAGTTTCTTAGGGACGTTGTGCGCTGGGGACGCGCGGCTGAGTGGAGAACGTTGCAGCAGATGCTCTCGCGGGGCGATGGTTCTGATGCACGGAACAAGCGTAAGTGGAAGCACGAGCATAACTATACTCGTGCTCGCCAGTGGGACGAAGTCTTCCTTGATTTTCTCGAGGGCCTGTGGGTTCCCTCCATCGGCGACCTCTCTTTCTTCTCGACCCCGAAGTCCTGGCTCTTTGTTAAGCACGCGTATGAGTGGATAGGCCTCGCCGTTCCGGATCGAGTGAAGTCAGAGATCAAGCCCCGCCTCCCCCCCTCGGGTCAGAACTCTCAGATGGATGTGATCAAGCGCCGCAAAGTCGATCTTCCTCTCGTGTCCTGGGATACCCCGCCTGAGCCGACTCCCTCCTCCTCTCCCCTGGCGTTGAGTAGTATTTCGTGTAGGCGTGAGATTTTAGGAGACTCGAGGCTCATTGTTCAGTGTTTTAACAGCTGCTGGAGCATGTACGAGAGCTTCTATGTCCCATTCGTCGCCACGGCTCAGACTCGGCTTGAAAAGCTGTGGTCCCGTGGCCTCGCGGCCCCCAGGGAAAAGACTGGTCACTGGTGTAGGCACGTCTTCAGGGAATTCAGCAAACGAGCTGACGCTCTGGCTTCCGAGGCCCTGGAGACTAGGCAGTCTCATGCGTTTTATTCCCCTCCTCCCTTTCCTCTCCAGGAGACAAAACACGTGTCTGCCCAATTCGATGGGGGCTCCAAGACTGGTCTGACCTCCAGTGGCTGGCACATCGGAGTCGCCCGCTTCTGTGATCAGGCGGGCCAACCCATCTTCCACAGCGTTGCCGAGGGCTCGATTTTCTGGGGTGATGGCACTGTCACTCTTGGTGAGCTCCGGGGTCTCGTGCAGCTTGTGGAAGCCCTCTTCAGTATGTTCGTACAGCGTGAAATTTTCTTCGACTCTCTGTCGCGTGTGCGGGAATGCTGGCTCTAGCATCCATCATGATGCTGTTATAAGTTTTGATTGCGTCTTCTTATATATATATGGACATCTTCGAAGCAGGCCATACCGTGAGGTTAGCAGGGCAGGGAACAATTCATCATCATCCTCATCATCATCACCAACATCATCCTATCACCTTACCATATTATCATTATCATCTTATCACTTTATCTTTTCATATCATCACCATCATCATCGCATCATCATATCATCCTATCTTACCACAGTTATATTACCGGCTTATCATCATCGCATCATCTTATCATCATCGTCGTCATCATCGTCATCCTCATCCGGATTCATTTTCCTGACGCCCTCTTCGCCTTTCCCCTGCCCGTGAGGCATTCAACCCTGGGCGCGACTTCGGGCCGCTCGACATGGCACGGACCGTCATGTACTGCCGCTGGGCGGACAGGGGCGCGGGGCGTATTAACGGTCGCCAAGAGGCGGATGGAGCGAGGAGGAGAATGGGGAGGACCAGGAGGATTTGCAGGGGGCATGGGGTGATGCGAATGATGATAACGATGGTGATGGTGATGGCGATGGTGGTGGCGGTGGTGTTGATGACGACTGCGATGGCGATGCTGACGATGGCGATGGCGATGTTGATGACAATGTGATGACGATGACTATGACGATGATGACGATGTTGCTGATGATGACGATGATGACGATGATGCTGACGCTGGTGATGCTGACTATGATGATGACGATGATGATGATGCTGATGATGATGATGCTGCGGATGTTGATGATGCTGGCGCTGATGGCAACGATGCTGCTGACGATGATGAGGTCACCCAGGATTATTGTGATGCTTATGATGATGGGGATGATGCTGAGGATGATTGTGCTGATGGTGCTGGTGATGATGATGTCGACGGTGACGTTGATGATGATGGAGGTGCTGACTGTGACGATGGTGATGATGATGATCATGATGATGATGCTGACTGCGATGACGACGACGACGACGACGACGGCGACCATGATGATGATGCTGATGATGATGGTTGCAATGCTAATCATGACGACGACGACGACGATGATGATGATGATGATGCTGATGATGATGATGATGATGATGATAATGTTGATGATGATGACGATGCTGACGATGATGATGATCAAGATGACGATGCTGATGATGATGATGACGACGATGATGGCGATGACGATAACGATGACGGTACCGATGATGATGATGAACATGACGATGGTAATGCTTTTTGTAGGTAGAGGAGGGCGAGCAGGAGTAGGAGGAGGAGGGTGGTGAGGGGGGAGGAGGGAGAGCGAGGGAGGAGGGTGGGGGATAGATGAGGGCAGGGGGGAATGTGGGGGGATGGACAGCTCGGACATGCGGCCCCTTCATGTGCTGTCCGCTTTGTGCAACCATGTGAAGTCATTGGGCGGGCACCATGCAGAACAAACGGGATAGGCGCAATGTAGATGGACTGCCAGCGCTAGCGGGGGGCCGCCAGAGCTGGCAAAGGATGACAAAGAGACAGAAACGAACAATACCCACAACCTATATATATATATATATATATATATATATATATACATAGGTATAAATTTACACATATATGCATACATATCTACATATATACACATATCGATATACGTATAAACATGTGTTTCCTTGTCATTGATATACATACGTATGTATATATATATATGTTTGTATATCAGTACATCTTCATATTTATATGTAAACGTATAAATGGTGGTGGTGGTAATCGTGATGCTTGTGATGGTAGTGGTAGTGCTTATGATAGGGATGATTGTCATTACGAGGAGGTGGGAGTACGGTAGGTTCGTGCCGTGCTGGCCCGGCAGTGACCTCGCCGCAGGCGTTCAAGGTTGAAAGCCGCCAGTTGTCCAGAATCGGTCAACATGGAATTGTGTGGGGATCGAGAAATCGCCGATCGTTCAAGGTTGAACGATCCACGTGGTGTCAGAAGCCAACGCTGGGGTCGCGACGACACGAGCCTGCCGTATAGGGGGAGTGTACACAAAGAGCTGGGGAAAGAGGAGGAGAAATGAGCACACGATAACGCGGCTCCAGGTGAGGGTGATGATGAGGAGCAGCATGCGGAGGGAGGGAGAGGATGGAAGATGTGGAGAATGATGAGGAGAAGAGGGAAGAGGGAAGAGAGTTGAGCGAGGGAGGAGTGAGGGAGGGGCGACGGAGGAGTGAGGAAGGAGTGAGGAAAGAGTAAAGAAGGGCACGAGGCGATGCGGAACCATCTGAGGACAGACAATTGGCGGCGAAAGAAGGCGGCAGTAGCGGGCCGCTGAGGCGGTGGCCAGGGAAGCTCCGGTCACACGTGGACTCGCGGGGACCTCCCCGGCCCCCTACCAGCCTGGACTGGCAGCGGATGGGGCCCAACAGCGGATGGGCCCGGAACAAAAACGCCGAACTCGACGAAGAGAACCAGGCCATCGTCGAGGTCGGACGTGACCGGAAAGGACAAGGACTCGCGGGGAGCTCCCCCAGTCCCTTACAGTCAGAGCTGGCAGCCGCCCAGCCCAGCGACCGCTGGGCCAGACGCACACGGTGCCGACAGAGACGCACATCATGACGCCGTGGCCCGACACGCCAACGAAGGACAGGGCGCCAACGAAGAGCAGCACGCCACCGAAGTCCACGGGGCAATGCAGCTGGAATGAACATCGACAGCAGCACGCGGAGTGAACGCTCCTCTCCTCCAACCACTGGCCGGCTACGCGAATCCCTCAGCGGCCTGCCCTGCGGCCGAAGGGAAGGGTGTTGCCTTGGTTCGGCGGGCGGCCGACGAGGGTCAAAACCCCACCCGCCCACCCAGGCCCGCACAACAGCAGCTCCAAGCACACGATGTGACCGCAGCCGCTGACGTCGAACTCACTCCCGGGCAGGCACGATGTGGGTAGTTCGAGTGGCTCGTTGCTCTTGGGATGCCGAGAAACCATTTGTCTGCGCAGACGTCCTAGGATGTTCGGCACATGCGATGCCGCCTTGCCTTCCCCACTGGGCTGCCCACGGCAAGTGGTGTAGAGCGCCTTAGGATTGCCCCGGGCGCGACCAGGACACGCAACGCTCGCATGTCAGAACTACTTGCTCCAGCACGTCGAAGCCGATGACCACCGTGCACGACAGCCTCCTCATAACCCCAGCATGATGTGACGAGCCCCCAGCAGCTGGCCAAATCTGCACACCTTCCTCCTCCACCAAGCGGTCCACAGCCTCAAGCGCCGCCGCCGCCTCAGGGGGCAGGATCGATACTGCACCCTAACTTCTTGACATGAGCCTCAGCCCTGAAACCGTCGATCACCGTGGGCGCGCACGCCGACCGAAGAAACCGAGCGAGAGTGGGGCCAGGCAGGCACGAACTCAGAAACTGGTTCACGTCCGCCAAATTCGAGCATCCGACGCGTCGCCCGGGCCAAGCACTGCGCAATCTTGCGATGCTGTCTGTACCCCAGCTGGAACACCTCCTCATATACATCGGGCAGCTTGTGCTCTATCGCTCCTTCCCTCGCGAAGCGGTCCGCCCAAACATATCGCGGGGCCCTTGGCGTCCTTCCAGGGCTGCTCGTGCACCAACCGCGTAGAAAGAACCGACCACGCATGATGCAACCGAGGAGGATTGGTCATGGGCTCTCAAATCCATCCCACGCAACGCGCAACGCGTAACGATATCGCAGGGGCCATGAACATCGGGTCGTGCATCGCGCTCCACTGAGTCACTAAAACTGCAATGCGAGGGACGACGATCCAGAGCGCGGTTCAACCAGCATGCTGGCAGTCGCCCACATTGTGGTGATCGCCTCTTCGTTCAAGCTAGATGCCCCAGCGCCGTGCGCTGCTGGGGGAAGAGGGCCCGTCTTCCGAAGAGAACCCACTTTGTGACCATAGGTACGCATGAAAGCTAAGAGCCTGCCTCCCCTGGCGTGCAGCGCTTCATATTGGATTCAGTTTGATCGTGACTGACCTTCCTGCCGCGATGGTCGCGGCCCGAGTTCCTGATCCAACTGCGCGCCTTGAGCCCGCCAGCTTCAGGATGGCGTTTCGCTTCCGTCGCCGCTGAAATAGAGAGCCGCGCATGTCCTGATGGCTCAAGTTGCACGACCGAACGCAACTGGCGGGGCCCTGACTTGAGTTCCGCCGCCGCCCGCCACAGTGCATTCATATCTCTTTACCGTGCGCCCGCCCGCTGCGGCGATGCGTCATCGATCAGCGCCCGAGCAACCGCCCCAGGCTGGCGCGCCTCGCCCAGGGGCCTTATCAACGTCGCCGACATGATCCCGCAAGCATGCGAACAGCCAGCCAGCGTGCCGCGCAATGCGCGGACGGCGGAACCCACGGAGCCGAACGCTTGCCATTTGCGCGGCAGCGAGCAGCATTGACACGGCACGCAGAGCAAACCAAGATCGCGCCCCCCCAATGTCGCGATCATATTGGAACGGCGCCTCCGTGAGGATGGGCTCGGAACATTTCCGGGCTTCCAGCGGTGCTGCAGCAGGCCCGGCGCCCGCCCATGGCCGACGACGCCTCCGCTTCCAAGTTGCGGGCGAATGCTGAATCCCAAGCCCCCGGATATCCGCCGAAGGGTTCTGCGCCGGCCAGCGCCGGCCAACCTTCGGCAAAGGGGCGCGCGCCCGAGACCGCAGCCGCAACGCGCAGCCCATGAGCCCCATGAGCCTGTTGCCGCCCGCGGATTTCGGGAGACGGACCGTCTCGTTCCACGGCTTCCGCTGAGGCCGCTCGCCCAGAGCTTCGCATTCCTGGGGGGCCTTGGCCATTGTAAACGACCCCGTATCCAAAGCGCTAGGAAAAATCCCGCACGGCTGCCTTGCCAGGGGGCAGTGCTATCTCTATTGGAACGCGCAGAAACGCGTCCTTCATCGTGCCGATGCTGATGTCGGTCAGCATTGGGCCCTAGGAAAGCATGGGCTTCGACGGCGGCTCCGCGACGTGATGCGTCCAAACGCGACGCCGCGCGTCCATCCCGCGATCGCGGAAAGCCTGCGGCGTCGCCAACTTGCGTCGTCCTCCAATTTGCCGCGTTTGCACTGCATGTCCCACGCATCGATCGCCTTGCGCAAAAGACCCGCGCTTTTGCCAGGGATTGCCTTGCAAACTTTTCCCATTCGTTCTGCTTAGCCTTGCGTGCCTCGTCGACGCGTTCGCTTGCGATCTGAACGGCATCGCCACGCATTGTTTCACTGTCGTGGAGTGTAAGATGTTGAGTTTCAGCACGGAGACCTCCGCGCCCAGTGGCCAAGCCGCGGACAGCCCTCATGCGTTCGCATCTTCCTGCAGAACTGCGCAGTCTCTCCGAAGAAGACTGCCACCCTGCGATGCTGCCCGACTCCTGATTCAACGAACAAGTTAGCCGAGCGCAACTTAGCCACGCATCTTCGA